GCTTGGGCAAATTCCCCCACTTTTCTTTGATTGCAAGTCTTGCTGATGTCAATACATGGTCTTCCTTCCCTTTTCGTGTGATGCAATCTCTTTGTTCACAGTTTGTAATGCTAGGAAGGCTAGAACGTCTAGTGAGGGTCAAATCAAGCTGATGCCAATGCTTGGATCGGATGTCTCCAAGAAACTCTGTGTTGAAGCTTCGTGCTGAAGAATGTGTTGCTGACACCATAATAACAGCAAAACTCTAGCAAGTGTTGGCCCTTTTCGTTCATCTTTCCAATGCCATATGGATCTCAGAAGAGTATTTCTGACTGCATAGCCAACACTATATTCCCTGGTCTCATTCAATGGTTTTCCCTGCCAGAAGAATGAGAAGTTTTTTTCTGTGACAGATCCCGAGACTGGCAATCTCGTCTCTTGCAGGGCAACAATGTCCATCTGCATTCTACTCAGTTCCATGTCGATATGTGGACATATTATCTTATGACTGCTCTCTAAAAAATAACAAGCAGATGAGAGTTTTATTAAGAAAAACACAAAGGAATAAAAAAAATCTGAGTGAAAAAGTAAAAATAGAGTATGAGAACAGTATTTCAAATTCCTTAGCATGTTACCATGAAACTTTACTTATGATTAATTTTTTTCCCTTATATATGCACATATACAATCTGTAATATAAATACCAATAAGACCACACTTTGATTTGCAGTCTTTTCTTAAAATGGACCACACTCATTCTCCCTCCTCTTCTCTCTCTGGCATTTTATTTCTTTTCCCCACTAACATTCTAACTAACACTCTCTGTGCATGACATATTGGGGCAACTGAGCTAATAATGGTTCCTTGATGAACAGAGGACAGTCAGCAATCTCCCCCCCCCGCCAAGATTTCAACTTGTCATAGAAGTTATCAAAGGCTCGCTGTTTGTCTTTTGTTTTATATTCTTAATGGTCGATTAAAGGTATCACCTGGTCTTGTATTTGTATCGTTCTGTGACTGTGCAGCCTTTTCCTGATTTTTCCTGTGGGCTAAACCGCAGAAGCCTGTGCTGCAGGGTCAGAAGACCAAGCAGTCGTAAGATCAAATCCACGCGACGGAGTGAGCGCCCGTTGCTTGTCCCAGCTCCCGCCAACCTAGCGGTTTGAAAGCATGCAAATGCGAGCTAATAATGGTTCCTTGATGAACAGAGGACAGTCAGCAATCTCCCCCCGCCCCGCCAAGATTTCAACTTGTTATAGAAGTTATCAAAAGCTCGCTGTTTGTCTTTTGTTTGATATTCTTAATGGTCGATTAAATGTATCACCTGGTCTTGTATTTGTATCGTTCTGTGACCGTGCAGCCTTTTCCTGATTTTTCCTGATACTTTCCTGTTTTGTGTATGAAAACATAAAGAAAGAAAGAAAAGTTACATATTGATATTTAGTAAAATACTTCATTTTAAACATGTATGGCCTTTCAGGATATAAAGGTAAAGGTTGCCCTTGACATTTAGTCCAGTCGTGTCTGACTCTAGGCTCTAGGCTCTGACTCTAGGCAGCGGTGCTTATCTCCATTTCCAACCCACAGAGCTAGCGTTTGTCTGCAGACAATCCTCCGTGGTCAGGCTATAACTAAGGGGGAAAAAAATCAAGCTTCATGTTTTCTGCTGTTTGCAGTTTGACAAGGAAAAGGTTTTAAT